GCTAAGTCATGAATACGGCTATAGACAATGTTCCCCAGTTCTCCCATTCCCTGTTATCGGTTTCTCCTTTATCTTGGAAATTCTTTGAAATGCACCAAAATTACTGCATAGAAATTGCTTCTATCTTTCTTTATTCATTTAAGACAGGGTCACACTCTGTCGTTCAGGCTGGAGTGCAGTGGTGGGATCATAGCTCACTGTAGCCTCAAAGTCCTAGGCTCAAGGTATCCTTCTGTCTTAGCCTCCTGAGTAGCTGGGACTATAGGGGTGTGTCACCATGCTCAGCTAATTTAAAAAAAAAATTGCAGAGACTGGGTCTCACTATGCTGCCCAGACTGGTCTTGAACTCCTGGGCTCTAGTGGTTCTCCCACTTCAGCCTCCTAAAGTGTTAAGATTACAGGTGTGAGCCACTGCTCCCAGCCAAGAGTGTTTCTCTTTCTCATTGTGAGTAAAAGATATCCGGCCACTGTAAATTCTCTGAAGCATATTAACCCTTGTATTAATCTCCTACGGCTGCCGTAACAAAAGCTACAAATGAGGTGGCTTAAAGCAGCAGGAACTTATTCTCTCACAGCTTAGAGGCTGGAAGTCTGAAATCAAGGTGCCGGCAGGGCCAGACTCCCACTGAGGACTCTGGAAGAGGGTCTGTTTCATGCCTTTCTCTTAGCTTCTGGTGGTTGCCAACAATCTTTGGCCTTCCTTGGCTTAGAGATGCATTGTTCCAATCTCTGCCTCCATTGTCACACGGTGTTCACCCTGTGTGTCCATACATCCTATTCTTTCTGTGCATGTCTGTATCTTTACATGACATTTGCCTCTGTGTGTGTGTCTCTCCTCCTTTTCTTATAAAGACACCAGCCACATTGGGTCAAGGGCCCACCTTATTCCAGTACAATCTTATCTTAACTTAGATCATGATTACATCTGCGAAGATTCCATTCCCAAATAAGGGCACATTCCCAGGTACTAATGGTTAGGACTTCAACACACATTTTGGTGATACAGTTCAACTCACAATAACCCTAGACAAGTGACTTCTCCACTCTGGGCCTCCATTCCTGCATCTGTAGAATAGGCAAGATGTTGCCCACCTTGCTGAAGTGGAAGGAGGAATCGAAGGAGATCATGCATAGTGCCTCCTGCATTGGAGAGCTGTGCCTATGACTTCTCTTCCTCATCCTTTCTAGTCCCCTCCTAGCTGTCTGCAGTATGAAATACTGACAGTAAAGGAAGTTCCAGCAGGTAGAGTTTTGGCTCACAGAGGCCAAACAGAAGCAAAACATTCTATTTGTTCCTTCAGAGCTCACTTCCTTCTAGCTAGAGGAATTCCTTTGTAGTGTGATCCTCTGCTTGACTTACTCTCATCTATGTAGGACTCAGGGGCTGGACATGTGAACTGACTTTAATAAAGGTCTTGGGTGATTCTAGGACACCAGGCTGAGATGTGTGTCTTTGGCTGTTTACCCCTATGATGAGTGGTTATTTTTTCATGGTCAAAACAAATAAATACATAAAAAGTGCCTAAAACCTATAGGGTATCAAGTTTCCAAACTCTGTTCTTGCGGCTGACTTCTGGATCACAGTGTTGTAATTAAAAAAAGAAAACACCAAGTTGCACTTGGCCATGAAACATAAATTGTACCTCTGTAAAGGTCAAATACTAGTTGTGATTAAACAGACGAGTTACACTTTATCCTGGTTAAAACGAAACTGAATCTTAAGACTACTTACAGGGTTCCACACCCCGCAACCCGACCCTCATTCCTGCAGAAGTTACAGTTGAAATCTTTTTTGAAGTGGGGTTTTATTTTTATTTCTTTTTTTCTTTTCAACTTGTGAGATGATTTCCATTGGTTTGGCAATCTGCACTTGAGCAACGCTCTATAGCATTATCAGGGTGCTGACAGCTGTCCTGGCATAAACAAGCAGTGATGCACTGAGCTGGCACATCCGTATGGCTTGGAAAATAAAATGAAATAAAGTAAAAACATTTGTTATCATTTGTGGAGTTTCTGAACACAACCAGCTTCAGTACAATGTTAATGCCTCGCGTGGCTTTCTTTATAAAAATAAATAAATAACTTGAAACGAGAACATCATGTTTCACTAGGAAGAGTGGTTTACTGTGTGGATGGGGAGAGAAGCCTCGGTTTACAGCAGCTGTTGCTCATCTTTGACCCAGGGTCTCATGATGGGTCTGCTGTTGGCTAAAGCCCAGTGCTGGATCAGTGGAGCTAATGGAATCTCCGTCTGCTTATCATCTCAGGCGCTGCAGAGCATTGGCTCTCAGAAAATCCTGGCTTTCTAACCCCACTTCTTCTCTACCTCCTCCCCACCACCCTGGGAAACTCTATCAAGGGCTGCTATGGAGGCAGTAACACCTAAAAACCTAACATTGGTTCTTTCTTCTAGAAAGCTAAGCTCAGGATCAGGTTTGGTATTAGAAGATCCTATGCTTTTATGTGGTAGTTGTAACAATGCCAGCCATTAATAATGGCACTCAGGGGTGGCATTATAAAGCACTTTTTTATTTACAAAGCACCTGGGAATATGTATCCTCATTGTGGAGGCCTCTGGTGTCAATTACTATTCTTATTCCACTACCTAAAGAGGTGACCTTGACTCCTCCTATCCCACTTCTTTTCTTTTCTCTTTTTTTTTTGAGGCAGAGTCTCACTCTGTCACCCAGGCTGGAGTAAAATGGGGTGATCTCGGCTCAATGCAACCTCCACCTCCCAGATTCAATCAATTCTCCTGCCTCAGCCTCCTGAGTAGCTGGAACTATATAGGCACGCGCCACCACACCTGGCTAATTTTTGTATTTTTAGTAGAGATGGGGTTTCACTATGTTGATCAGGCTGGTCTCGAACTCTTGACCTCGTGATCCCCCTTCCTCGGCCTCCTAAAGTGCTGAGATTACAGGCATGAGCCGCCGTGCCCCGCCCCCACTCCTTAAAGGTGTAACCACTCCCATTTCTTATGTATAAAAAGGGAGCTTGGAATTCTTCCCTGAGAGCTTATCTATGACTCTTTTTGGTGACTGGCAATATGAAGGAAAATCAGTCACACAATAAGACATCTTCAACACCCACAGTGACATATAAAATGACTTTTCTTTTTGGTACAGGACTTCAGTTCATTGTGACTGCATTGTTTATTTCAACCGATTGGACATTCCACTGGGCAATTTTAAATGCCTTAATGCCATTTCTTAAACATGAAAAATAGATGAATAAGTATATAATAAATGTGGATTTTTTATTGCATTTTAGGTTTGGGGGTACACGTGCAGAACACGCAAGTTGGTTGCATAGGTACACACGTGGCAGTGTGATTTGCTGCCTTCCTCCCCTTCACCCACATCTGGCATTTCTCCCCATGCTATCCCTCCCTAGCTCCACTATTCCCCCCAACAGACCCCAGTGTGTAGTGCTCCCTTCCCTGTGTCCATGTGTTCTCATTGTTCATCACCCACCTATGAATGAAAACATGCGGTATTTCATTTCCTGTTCTTGTGTCAGTTTGTTGAGAATGATGTTCTCCAGATTCATCCATGTCCCTACAAAGGACACGAACTCATCGTTTTTGATTGCTGCATAATATTCCATGGTGTATATGTGCCACATTTTCCCAGTCCAGTCTATCATCGATGGGCATTTGAGTTGGTTCCAGGTCTTTGCTATTGTAAACAGTGCTGCAATGAACATTCATGTGCATGTGTCCTTATAGTAGAACGATTTATAGTCCTTTGGATACATACCCAGTAATGGGATTGCTGGGTCAAATGGAATTTCTATTTCTAGGTCCTTGAGGAATCGCCACACTGTCTTCCACAATGGTTGAACTAATTTACACTCCCACCAGCAGTGTAAAAGTGTTCCTATTTCTCCACATCCTCTCCAGCATCTGTTGTCTCCAGATTTGTTAGTGATCGCCATTCCAACTGGCGTGAGATGGTATCTCAATGTAGTTAAGTGTGGATTTTAAAGCAGACGGTATCTAAACTCCAAGTAGGCAGGCACCTAATCTGTCTTTTTCATCCTGTATTCCTAGTGCCTGGCAAAGGGCTGGCACTAAGTGTTTCTGGACAAGTCAGCTCACTTCTCTGAACTTCAGTTTTTAAATGTATAAATGGGGACGGGATTTCCTATTCTATAGTGCTGGCTCATAATAAGGGCTCAATATATATGAATTAAATGAATAAATAAAAAGATATATAATATCGGGGTAGGCAGTAGATAACTATAGATGTTAGGCAGAAGTATGATGATAAATCAGCTTAGTCCTGATTGGTAGCAATTGCCAATTACCTGGGTGTAAATACTCCTATCGTGGCCAAGTTCACACTGCCATTAAGAAGTTACTGAACGCAGAGTTGGGAAGAGATCTGCCCAATCAGCTCCCGTGACCTGGGGCACTCCTGCTCCAGCATAGCTTTGACTTGGGTAGTGAAACAGTTGCAAACCCATGCTCCATTTCCTGTTTGTTTTCAGGAAGTTTCTCCCATGGGCAGAAAGGTTTGGGGACTTCCAGATTGCTTGAGTTTACACAATTCCACTTCTCTAGCCAATGTCAGAGCATTTTCCTTTATTTTGGCAGAGAGGAGAGAAGAATATGAGTTGCCAGGTAGCGGGTGTTGATGGAAGAACTGGTGGGCCCATTGGTTGACCATTGGTTGGTACCATCTCATACAGAAAGTTCATCGTCTTGCCCTTTCCCACTGTGTCGATATGGGAATGCTCCTTTTCCCCTCCTTTATACCTCTAGCGATTAACCTGTGCCTTTTTAAACAGGCTGTGCCAGGAAGCAACCTTGCAATTACTGCTGTTTCATAGACTTTGCAAAAGTCCCAGGTTTTTGTTTTCTTCCCAAGATTCATTTCCTACCAGATACATCTACTATTTCTCATCCTCTCTGGCAAAATTGCAAGGAGTGGCATCAGCACATCTTTGTACAGTAGGCGAATATATTTGGAATGCTTATTTCTGAGAGCTGTTGAAGATGACTAACAATTTTACACCACACAAAAGGACTGACAATAAATTCAGGAGTGGCAAATGGAACCTCTGTTCTGTTTCCCTCTCAGTAAATAAATAACTGCAAAACCTGTGCTCCAATACCCGAGCGTCAAATCCATGGCGCTCTGTTGATTAACACTGAAAATGTCTTTGTGAAGACGATACATTTAGAAGAGTCCTAAGGCTTGCACCAGAAGCTGACACTGAAGGTTTATTTTAATGTAGCACGGATCAGAGCGAATGATGTGAAAAGAGTTCTGTTTCTCCTGGAAGGATGCCACTTGTTCCTACTCCTGGGGAAATGTCTTCCAAGCTCTTTACCAAATCTGCAAGCTGAAGCAACTCAACTGTGGCTAACCTGACCACCTGAAGACCTCAGGATCCACCAGGAGCCCAAGACACCTCAAACGCTCGTGCAAGGTCAGTACCAGAAATCGTGTTTTTGAGTGATTTGTAACGTAATGCATAGCTCAGTGGAGTTTTCTGCGGCCTTGTATTATCTTTCACATCACTGAATGCCAGTGTTTATATTGGGGCATGCTCAGAGGTGGAAATTTGGAAGGAAAGTCCACCACAGCCTTTATGTAAATTGGGGATCCAGCAGTAATATCTGTTTAACACCACCAGTGGCAAGCAGATGAATGTATAGTAATCACATGAGAAGTAAAACAAGAAAGATGTTAGAACGAGATGTAGGAGAAGGAGAGAAAAACACAAGGAGGGAGAGAGGGAGCAAGAGGAGAAGGAGAAAACAAATTCATGGATTGAAAAACTTCGCTGTCCTTTGTAGCAATGTGTTTGCACCTGCTATTTCTTGGTTTTTGAATGCCATTCCACCTCTTCTTCACCTAGCTAACTCCAACTCAACCTGTGACCTCACCTTACATGTTATTTTCTCAGGGAAATCTCCATAACCCTCAGACTGGGTCAGGTCCCCATATTATGTGGTCTGATGAAACTCTTTTTTTTTATAGCACACATCATGACATAATGATTAAATTTTGTATCATGGTGTATGTGATTATCTGTTACATGCTGTTCTTCCTCAAGGACCAAAAGTTCTGAACCAGTAAGATTCCAAAAACCTGGTGCCAGCCTTGGCTCTGACCAGGGCCTTCAAGCCACCCATTGTGTAGGGGAATGCTGAATGGATGAAGTTTCAGACAACTGCATTTTATTATCTGAACCTTGCTGATTTAGCACAGTCCTGTCCATGTGCACATACCACAGGCCAACCTTGTGAGACAGTCAAGAAAGGGGCTCAATCCCCATAGATTTTCCCTGTCATTTATCAGGTCCCAACAGGTTCACTGATTTGCCAAGAAGAAGCACCAATGGGTCAGAGGCAGAACGCGAACAGAATTCAGTCTTCCAATACCAGGGTCCCTCCCTCGACTTCCACTGCTCACTAGACAGGTCTCTCTGCAGAAGGGGAAGGGAAGGGTCGAGGGTTTAGGGAAAGGACAGTGGAAAGGGAGGGAGAGTAATCATGACAGAAGAGATTTATTCCTGCCTTCTTCTCCTTTCTTTTTGCATTAAGGACAAGCATCGCCTGCACACGTCAGCATGAATGGGAACATGATGAGGCATCACTTTTTCCAGGGCTATGACCAGCTCCTCAGGGCAGCAGGCAAAGCTGTCCCTCTGAGTTAGCCCTTGAAGTTTTCCTCAAATCTCTTGCTGAAGGGACGCCAAGTCAGTCAACCCTAGGCTTCCACTGGGAGCTGTATACCTTCCTTCCTATACTCATTCTCCAAACATTTTTCGAGGGTTCACCATGTCCCAGGCATTGTGCTAAAAGTGGTTTGTGTAGGCTCCAGTGAGGCCTGCGGGGTGACCAGCTATCCCAGTTTTCTTGACATGAGAGACTTCGTGTGTGCAAACTAAGACAGCTACACCCTGCTTTGGGTGTGAGCTTAGGCTGCAGAGTGTAATTCTCAAGAATCACACCAAGACCACCTTCCTTGCTAAAATGAACATTCTCAGGCGCCAGTCTGGACCAGTGATTCCAAATCCTCTGATGCTGGAAACCTATGTTGTATCAAATCCCCCAAGTTATTATTATGCATATTTAAGTTGGAGAACAACTGATCTAGTGCTTAAGGGCACGAACTTTAAAGTCACTCACATGTGGATTCAAATTCCACTCCCGCCATTAAAAATCGATGCAAATTTTTACAAATTGCTTAATCAATGTGTACTTCAATTTCTTTATTTGTAAAATGGGTCTGATAATACTATTTCCATAGTGTTCTTGAATGAATTAAATAAGAAAATGAATTAAAACCTTAAGTATAATACCTGGCAAACAATTAACCATTCATTAAATTATCATTATAACTATCAATACTGAGACTGTTGCCCTGGTACCTAGATTCCAGGTTTCTGCTCCTGAATTTGGGGCTGCTCTATCTTTTTTGATCCAATAGGCAAAATCAAGACTTTGCAATAATCATTGTAGAAACGCACTTGTGTTTTCTCTTCCTTTTCTATCATTTTTCAAAGTATGTGAAGAGTTTTTTCCCATTCCCAGAAGAGGTCATACATTTGGACTCTCTCACACATTTGGACTCTCACATATTCTGTCCTTTGTGTTTGAAATGTTATCTCCTTAGCCTGATGAACTCCTATTCATCCTTCAAAGCTCAGCTACATATTTTGTCTTTGGGGAAACAGCCTCAGTTTTCTCCCATTGTCTCCTACCTCTTCTCCATGCTTATCCTACTTAGACAAACAACAAACAATGATAAGAAAGTATATCTCTCCCAATTAATAAAAGCTCTATCTTACTCTTCTGTACCAGAGGTTGCCATGGCCACATCCACTTAACTATGTGCATTTATAAATAAAGTTTTATTGCAACAGTCACCCTTATTCACTCACATATTGTCTATAGCTGTCTTCATGCTATAATGGCAAAGTTCAGTAGTTGCAACAAAAGTCTTATGGCCAACAAAGTCTAAAATACTCTCTGCACCTTTGCAAGAAATATCTGTGGACCCTGATCTATATAAGCATCCCATGTACATAGCCTGTGTGCTATGCAGCTATGTAGCAGATGCTCAAAAATATTTTGCATAAGTAGATCAGTATGTCAATGAATGGATTATGAGTCCATGACTATGTTATTGGTAGTACACGTTGTGTTCTCTAAATGCATTCTCTAGATCAAAGAGAGTTACAGCCACACTTACATGAGGCACCTTGTGCTTCAATCCACAAAAAAGCAAATAATACTCAAGGCAAAGGACTGTTGAGAAGGCTTAGCCACTTCTACAATCTTCCTTTATCCCATTTCATTATCTATGGAGATGTCAAGAAATAGCGGACATCAGACACTCCAGAGATCTTTCCTAGGCTTGGTACACCCAGTTCCTGCCTTCCCAATGGGCCCAGCCTGTGAAGGTGGTGAGGCACATTGCAAAAGCAACTGTACTGACCCCTTTCTCACTTCACCTTTGCAGGCTGCCCTCACCTCAATGAGATTATTCTACTTCTAGGGTACCCAGGACAATTCTGTATACAGAATGAACCATCTACCCACCCAATGCTAATGACTGAGGGGAAACAAATCCTCAGGAGATGGTGAGAGGATGTGGCACACCAGTTATTTTTCAATGAAAGATAAAATAGAAAATCTATTCCAAAGACTAGACAAAATGCTGCACTTGCAAGAAGAAGCTCTTTCAGCCATCAGCATGTGTTTAGGTTGGCCCAGAAATGAACAAGGTGCTATTCCCTTAGAGTAGGTCAGAAACCTGGCACCAAGCTCTGACTGGTGGGCTAGAAGCATCACCTCCACATCTGGGTCCTGCCTCTTTTTCTGGTCTGGCTAAGGCCTGAACAGAGAAGAGCAGGGTGAGGGTGGGGAATAATCACACTGTCCTGGAACGATCTGAAACACAGAGAAAGTTGATATCCCACTACAAAGCAAGATTCCAGCCAGGCGTGGTGTCCCAAGCCTGTAATCCCAGCACTTTGGGAGGCCGAGGCGGGTGGATCACGAGGTCAAGAGATCAAGACCATCCTGGTCAACATGGTGAAACCCCGTCTCTACTAAAAATACAAAAAATTAGCTGGACATGGTGACGCATGCCTGTAATCCCAGCTACTTGGGAGGCTGAGGCAGGAGAATTGCCTGAACCCAGGAGGCAGAGGTTGCGGTGAGCCGAGATCGCGCCATTGCACTCCAGCCTGGGTAACAAGAGCAAAACTCCTCAAATAAATAAAAAAAAAAAAAGCGAGATTCCGTGTCAGTAGGCACGAATTTCTGTTGGTCCAAAGATTTCTTCAGAGAAGAGAAAAGCAAACACTGAAGAGGAAAAGCTCTCAGGAAGGTAAAGACCTGTGGCCAATGGGGTCAGACAGAATTTGGGGCCACGTTTCATTTCCTGCTGAACAGCTTGCTTCCTAGTGGAGATACCATGGCAAGGATTTGTGGAGAGTGAGAGCAAGTGTAGGAGTTGACCCAGACTCAGGAAGCTTCTTCTGCAAGCCTGAGCTTAGAGGAGTGTTCAACCAGGCACATGGAGATGCAGGATTGGGAAGAATTTACACTGCACCTCAGTGATAGCCGCAGGCCTGGAACTCAGATGGCCAGTCCCCGACACAGCATATTTTCTTGCTTATTTTTTGCCACAGTTCTACTCACACAGGCTTTCAAGGACTCCTCCCAAATTAAGAGAATGTTCTGGAAATTTTAGATTTTTTTTTTTTTTTGCCAGACCTATGAAAAAGGTAGAAAGAATATTTGTTGGAGGTGGTGGAAAAAATTAAAAATCAAGGTACTTTTAAAAATGTAAAGAAAATGATTTCTAGGTAAAGGATGACCTTACTTATCTTATTCAGTCTGCCAAATGTTTACTAAAGACTTAGTGTTGGTCTTCTGCATTCATCTCAACAGGGCCCAAGGAACCATGGTGCACAGCTGCTATCCCCTGTAAAGTTTCAGAACCAGAGCTTTTCAGATCCAAGACACACGGACTTGCACTCGGATGCTGACTCTGCCACCCTACCACTGACTCAGTCTATGAACGTGGACAAGTCCCCATAGCATAGACAAACGTTAGCTTCCTCCTCTGCAAAACAGGGGTAACAAGAGCAATCACCCTATGTATGTGTTGTAAGGATTGAGTGAGATAATATCTGGAGACACTTAGCCCAAGGCAAGGCCCAAGGTTGCTCCTCTTGTTATTTAATATTTCAATATTTCTTTTGTCCTACCTTGGTGACCAATCCCCATTCAGCCCTCTCCTTTGGGTCCCCACAAGCCCCATCAGTAACTCCTATCTCAGGCTCCAAGCTGTACTGCGTTGACTACCATTCCCCCAAAATTCACATACACCTGGAAACTCAGAGTATGACCTTATTTGAAAAGAGGATCTTTGCAGGTATAATATGTTTAGGATGTCAAAGTGAGAGCTTACTGGAATAGAATAGGCTCTACATCCATTCGAAGTGTTCTTGCAGGGAAAGGAGAGGCACAGCGGGACACAGGAAGCAGGAAGGCCACGCCTAGACAGAGGCAGGGATTGGAGTGATGCTGCCTGGAGTTGAACGAGGCCAGGAGAACCAGAAGCTAGACGAGGCTGGGACAGATTCTCCCCTGGAGGCTTTAGCGGGAGCATGGGCTGCTGACACCTCAATTCCATCTCTTGTTTTAAGGCACCCAGTTTCTTATCATGTTACAGCAGCCTGGAAAACTCACACACAAGTGAAGCCCCGACTCACCCTGCAGTGCCCATCTGAACACCTCTCATGGATTCTGAGCAAGGGTGAGTACTCCTTTTCCTCAGGCTTGCATGCCCAGGCCCCATTAGTGTAAGTAATAAACAGATTACATATCCTTGAAAAACCTGTAGTCCCAGATGATAGTGATTTATTTTTTATTTTTTATTTTTTTTTGGAATGCAAAACAGCAATAACAACAAAAAACCAAAAACCGATCCTGAACTAGAAATGCAAGAGAAAAATGAAGCAATCAAAAGTCACACAGCTGTTTCTTCCTTCCCCTGAAGGTATGCCCAGTATCTCATAGGTAGCTTGGTAGCATTTCATGGTGATGTTTTACAAGTTGGTTTTGGCAATCATCATATCCTTTTTTTTTGAGATGGATTCTCATTCTGTCACCCAGGTTGGAGTGCAGTGGAGCAATCTCGGCTCATTGCAACCTCCACCTCCCGGTTCAAGTGATTCTCCTGCCTCAGCCTCCCGAGTAGCTGGGATTACAGACATGTGCCACCACGCCTGGCTAATTTTTGTATTTTCAATACAGATAAGTTTCACACCATGTTGGTCACACTGGTCTCGAACTCCTGACTTCATGATCTGCCGCCTGGGCCTCCCAAAGTGCTAGGATTGTAAGTGTGAGCCACTGCACCCCCCCACCCTTTTCTTCTTTGTAGCTGTGAAGTCTCTGGGCTGGTTCTAGTTTCTTCCTTCTTGATCCAGAACAAACCCCGACCTCTTGGCCATGTTCCTTTCCTCACCAGGGCCACCACCACCAACTCCACATCTGGTAGTCCCTCTTCCCTTCGGTCTGGCTGCCTGCCACCTTCTGAATTGCCCTGGAAAAACAATAATGAAGTTTTGCCATTTAAAGGCAAAACTTTGGTGCAGCTTGCTATGGGAAAACTGGAGAGAAACACAAATGGCTGATTGTCCTAACAGACACTATGTACTGGATGGATGCTGATAACAGGCTCAGAGCTTTCCATTTCCATCTGTTGCCTTCTTTTATCCACATGAGAATCAAACAAGAAGATGCTGTAGGCGTTACTGTATTTTTCTCATTTTAAAGGTCAGGATGGGGAGGGTTTGGGAGGTTAAGGAAGTTGTTTGAGGTCACACTGCAGTTAAGAAGGGGAAAAGGACTTAGAAATGTATTCTTCCCACTTTAGAACCAAGGTCAGTGACCAAGGCCCTGCTTAGAAATTTCTGAAGGTTGCAGCTGGCCTCTTACCTGGAGTTTTGACTTCCTTTCTGGGATAGGAACTTGAATGGCAATCATGAGAAAGTCTGGCACTTCTCTTTTATATTTTTAACATTCATTTATTTTAAAAATGTATTTTAATTTACAAATAATAATTGTATATATTTATAAGGTATGATAAGATATTTTGATATGCCTACCTTGTGAAATAATTAAATGAGGCTCATTACCAAGTCTGGCACCTCACATATGTATTTTTTTTAGTAAAACACTGAAAATCTGTCCTTTTAGCAATTTTGAAATACACAATGCATTTTTAAAAGTTATAGTCTCCATTCTGCGCGGTAGATCACTGAAGCTTATTTCTCCTATCTAACTGTAACTTCGTACCCTTGGATCAACATCTCCTTTTTCCTCATCCACACCCCTCCCCAGTCTCTGGTCACCAACAGTCTGTTCTCTGCTTCTTTGAAATCAACTTTCTTAGATTTCACATACAAGTGGGATCACGCCGTTATTTGTCTTTCTTTACCTAGCTTATTTCACTATTCCATCCTCCAAGTTCATCCATATTACTGCAAATTACAGAATTTACTATTTTTTTTTTTTTTTGAGACGGAGTTTCGCTCTTGTTACAGGCTGGAGTGCTATGGCATGATCTCGTCTCACCACAACCTCCGCCTCCTGGGTGCAGGCAATTCTCTTGACTCAGCCTCCTGAGTAGCTGGGATTACAGGCACGTGCCACCATGCCCAGCTAATTTTTTGTATTTTTAGTAGGACGGGGTTTCATCATGTCGACCAGGATGGTCTCAATCTCTTGACCTCATGATCCACCTGCCTCAGCCTCCCAAAGTGCTGGGATTATAGGCGTGAGCCACCGCGCCTGGCCCAGAATTTACTATTTCTAAAAGGCTGATAGTGTTCCATTGTTTATAAAGACCACATTTTTTAATTCATTTATTTGTTGATAGACATTTAGTTTGATTCCATATCTTAGCTAATGTGAATAGTGCTGTAATGAACCTTAATGTGCAGATATCTCTTTGGTATACTGATTTCAATTCCTTTGTGATATACCCAGAAGTGGGATCTCTTTTATTTTTTGAGTGGGTGATCTAACTCTAGCCTCTCAGCTCTTTCTCTGAAAATCAGTGTGAACTATTGCCAGGCAGAATCTACTCAGCAGGGATTTTGTTTGGGAGGCATCTCTGAGGACTTGCAGATTGGGAGAAAATGTTTTTTTCTGGACCTCTGCAGCAACAGAAGCCATTTTGTTGCTGAGCATTCCTAGAAGTCATTGCAGGTAATAGATGTTCCTTGAACAACGACAACAAAAAAATGTTTGACAAGCAAAGACTTGTACAATCCTGCCATGAAGGTTTTACATCTGCTGGACTTCAGAGCCTTCTGTTTGCTGATGTAGTCTGGGGATCTCTAAAATGATGCTACGATATGCATCCATTATTTGATAACAGAACCCTCTTTCCATGAAAGGTAGCTAGGTTTAGGCTTCCAAGAGCAACTTGGTGGACACATTACTTTGGTTTTTTCCTTGCAATTAGCATTTTCTTCTCTGTGACTTAGGGAGGTGTGTCCATATATTTCCTGGGAGTTCATTATTTTCCAAGTCTGATCTATGTAAATATCAAATCACTTACAAGACATGGCAGACCTTCTCGAAGATGAAATTCGTCATGACTTCATCTTTCTTATAATCACCCAAATTAGTTCTGAAGTGTGGGCCTTTAGCTGCTGAAAAATAGGAAACAGAGTCAAGCCTGACCCTGTCTTCTATTGTATGTGACAGCTTCTGCTCCGTTTCAGTGACAAAAAATGTGTTGAGCTAAAAATATTCTAAGCAGATGTGAATCTGGGCGACGTGACTGCAACACACCCCTGCCTGCAATTTTTTTGACTTCTAGTGTCTCTCAATGCACAGTTGCTACAATCTCAGGCCACCATAGCACCCTCTGCATGCAAGTTGTTTATGTGAGTGCGTGTCTGAGGCCCCTGGAGATAGCTTGGTGGAGAATACCTCTGCATCAGCCAGCCACAGTGGCTCCTAGCAGCCTCAGAATGGATGGGAAGAAATAAATTCCATCACAGGTTAGGACCAAGTTCCACTTATGCAAATGCTTGCACATTTGTTTTTTTCCTCCAGTCTTCCATATCATTCATAAGAACTTGATTCTATCTTCCAGTTGGAAGACACATGGACCCCATGATTCTGTAGAAGAAGTGGGTTTCAACTTGGTCCGGGAGATCTTGTTGCCCATGGGTAAAGGTGGAATCTGCCTTCCATGCAAAATGGTGTGTGGGACTCTCTTGGGGATTAGATTCTTGTCTGGAAGCTGAATTATTTTAAGAAGGCTCTTGGATCACCTACAGAAGCTAACAGCTAATATCTATCTTTTAGAGAATGACAAACAATTACTATACTTCACTGAACACATCTTGTATACTAGGCATAATAGCCAATTGCAGCTACTTTTATTTATTGGGCTCTGTCATCGATGCTTTTGGATACTGTCTTAGTGTCAAGCCATCATTGTACTTTAGTGCATTGAGATGTGAGTTTGTGTTTTGGTGGAGCCAATGTAAGTCTTCATATCTCTTCTTTTCAACTTAGGATTTTCTAGGAATCTAAAAATGCATGTGAGACTTAACCTGTAAAAGCTGAGTTACTCTGACTCCAAGTTTTCCTGAAGATTTTTCTTTGTGTGGTCAGCTTGCTTGGAAAAATCCAGAAACCAACATGAACTTACAACCCTGCCCAAATAAATGTAATATTTCAGATGGAAATTGAGAGCTGGTATATAGGACAAGGATATCTGACCCAATACAGATACATGTCCTTTGAGTAGAGAACTCTGATTATCCCCAAGGAGAGTGTCAGTATAAAGCCTAGTCAGAACCAATGGAAGTTTAGACTCTCAAAGAGTCAGCCAGGTTCCTCTTGGGAAGCCCCTACTTGACAATCCTGCATTACAGAGTTTGACTTCTGGCTCTGTTAGCTACAAGCTTGACTTCATTCCCATAATCCTCCATTTCATCATCTTTAAAGTGGGGATGAATTGTAGATAGACAGACAGAATAGATGTGAGGTCATCATGCCACACTGCACATAAGTGCTTAGCATGCAATGAGCACTACACAAATGGCTGCTTCCATTGCTATTGACAAGGGTGCAACTTACTGGGAGAGTCATCCATCTATCTTCTATGTGCTAACTGAGTGCATGCCTTTCTTACCTCTGCGTGTTAAAGCTTTGCCAGGAAGAGTGGCAACGTCTCAGGCTGAATCAGCCCTATCCAGGACTTGGCCACGCTGCATTCCCTGAGCTGGGCCCCGACCTATGAGTCACACAGCCTTCTCCATGCGGACACCACAGCAAATCACTTTTCCCATAATGAACAAGCAGACACACTCCATTGTGGTGATGGAAAGTAATTATGAACGTAAATGTTCTAACCAGACATCGGTTCCACCATGGTTTAACCCCTGGTTTCCTTTTTTGCACAGTAATCACACACTGTCCTGTGGCAGACACTGGGGAGGAATCATTACAGAGAATTATGTGATCCATCTGCCCACTGAACCACAAGCTGGGGTACAGGCAGGGGTATGGCACATCTGGCTTTATTTTGGGGTCGGGTAACACCAGGAACATGGATAAATGCCCTAACTTAAGTATGGGCTGTTCCAGGTCCAGGAGCAAATGTCTTACAGGCCACATTCCCTCTTTTCCCAGCCAGAATGGAGGTTTCCATTCTGGTGTGATATGGCCACAATATCGTCAGAACTACCAGCACACATATTCCCCTCGCTGTGACCCCTGCAGCTCAAAGCACAGCTATCTAGCCTATGGTCTGGACAGGTCAATGTGATTCTAGTAATTCTGTTACTACATTTGCAATTGCTCTTTATGCTAGCACAAACACTGCTACTGATTCTCCTGATACCATGGCTAGGCAACCTTTCTGTGCCAAGCACTGACCTGACCACTTTCACATATATTTTCTCATTTCATCCCTATGAGATTATACTGATATTACTCCCACTTCCTAGATAAATGAACTGAGAA